CCATTGAACAACGTTGTGACCCGTGGATCGCCTCCCTTATCGAATATTTATCTGGCACGCCTAACCTTCCAGTATCTCGATCCCTCCGACGTCAAGCTTTCCATTTTGCCATCCGCGATCAACTTCTTCATCGACGCAACTACGCTCCCGATGGCCGCCGGTGGCTTCTGGTCATTCCACGCACTTTACGATCGCAAGTATGCGCCTCTCTTCACGACGATCGGCAATGCGGCCACGCCGGAGTGTTCAAAACATATGAACGCCTTCGCCATCGCTATTACTGGCGCGGCATGTACAATTTTGTACGCAAGTTCGTGCAGTGCTGTCCTGACTGCCAGCGACACAAATCAACACTGCCACGTGTGACTGGCGCATTGCAGCCACTTCTTTGCCCTGCCAAGCCATTTGATCGCGTCGGCGTTGACCTCTATGGTCCCCTTCCATTGACATCATCATCATCACATTTTATGTGTTAGTCACATAAATTTGTGTGCACTATTGTTTGTTTCTGTGCTTTCGTTGATTTTTCTGTACCCGCTCCTGCAATGTCCCAGGCATGGGACAGCAGTATTTGTAAATAAATAAATCATTATCAGCCTGACTACGTCCACTGCAGGACAAAGGCCTCTCCCATGTTCCGCCAGTTAACCCGGTCCTGTGCTTGCTGCTGCCAATTTATACCCGCAAACTCCTTAATCTTCTGCCCACCTAACCTTCTGTTTCCCCCTAACCCACTTGCCTTCTTTGGGAATCCAGTCAGTTACCCTTAACGACCAGCAGTTATCCTGTCTACGCGCTACATGCACGGCCCATGTCCATTTCTTCTTCTTGATTTCAGCTATAATATCCTTAACCCCCGTTTGTTTCCTAATCTACTCTGCTCTCTTCTTGTCTCTTAAGGTTACACCTACCATTTTTCTTTCCATTGCTCGCTGCGTCATCCTCAATTTAAACTGAACCTTCTCTGTAAGTCTCCAGGTTTCTGCTCCGTAGCTAAGTACCGGCAAGATACAGCTATTATATACCTTCCTCTTGAGGGATAGTGGCAATCTACCTGTCATTATTTGAGTGTGCTTACCAAATGTGCTCCACCCCATTCTTATTCTTCTAGTCACTTCAATCTCGTGGTTCGGCTCCGCAGTTATTACCTGCCCTAAGTAGACATAGTCTTTTACAACTTGAAGTGCACCATTTCCTATCTCGAAGCGCTGCTCTTTTCCGAGGTTGTTGTACATTACTTTCGTTTTCTGCAGATTCATTTTAAGACCCACCTTTCTGCTCTTCTAACTCCGTAATCATGAGTTGCAATTCGTCCCCTGAGTTACTCAGCAATGCAATGTCATCGGCGAAGCGCAGGTTACTAAGGTACTCTCCATTAACTCTTATCCCTAACTGTTCCCATTCTAGGCTTCTGAAAACCTCCTGTAAGCAAGCGGTAAATAGCATTAGGCAGATTGTGCCCCCCTCCCTGCCTTGCACCCTTCTTGATTGGTATTCTGTTGCTTTCTTTATGAAGCACTATGGTAGCAGTTGATCCCCTGTAGATTTCTTCCAGGATGTTTATATATACTTCATCAACGCCCTGATTCCGCAGTGTCTGCATGATGGCTGATATTTCTACTGAATCAAACGCCTTCTCGTAATCTATGAAGGCTATGTATAGTGGTTGGTTATATTCTGAGAATTTCTCTATTACCTGATTGATAGTATGAATGTGGTCGATTGTTGAGTAGCCTGTTCGAAACCCTGCTTGTTCCTTTGGTTGATTGAATTCTATTGTTTTCTTTCCTCTGTTAGCAATCACCTTTGTAAATAGCTTGTATACTACAGAGAGCAAGCTAATCGGCCTGTAATTCTTCAAGTCCTTGTCATCTCCTTTCTTATGTGTTAAGATGATGTTAGCGTTCTTCCAAGACTCTGGTACTCTTCCCGTCAGGAGACACTTCGTAAACAGGGTGGCTAGTTTTTCTAACACAATCTGTCCTTCATCTTTCAGCAGATCTGATGTTACCTGATCCTCACCAGCAGCTTTGCCTCATTGCATGCTCTGCAAAGCTTTTCTGACTTCTTCTATCATTACTGGTGGGGTGTCATCTGGGTTACTGCTAGTTCTTATAGTATTAAAGTCGTGGTTGTTCCGGCTACTGTACAGATCTCTGTAAAACTCCTCCACTATTTTAACTATCCTATCCATATTGGTAGTTATTTTGCCTTCTTTGTCCTTTAGTGCATACATCCGATTTTTGCCTATCCCAAGTTTCCTCTTCACTGCTTTGATGCTTCCTCCGTTTTTCAGAGCGTGTTCAATTCTCTCCATGTTATACCTTCTTACATCGGATACCTTACGCCTATTAATCAACTGCGAAAGCTCTGTCAGTTCTATTTTGTGTGTTGTACTTGAGACATTCATGATTTGATGCTTCTTAATGAGATTCTTCGTTTCCTGGGAAAGCTTGCCAGTGTCCTGTCTAACTACCCTGCCTCCAACTTCCACTGCACCCTCCGTGATGATACTCGGCAGATTATCATTCATTGTATCTATGCTAAGGTTGGTTTCCTCACTAAGAGCCGAGTACCTGTTCGGAAGCGAGACTCTGAATTCCTGTACTTTTCCTCTCAGTTCTAGCTCATTGAATGGCTTCTTGCGTATCAGTTTCTGTCGTTCCTTCCTCAAGTCTACGCGAATTCGAGACCGTACCTATCTATGGTCACTGCATCGTGCCTTGCCAACCACTTCCATATACTGTACGATGCCTGGCTGTGCACTCAATATAAAGTCTATTTCATTTTTAATTTCGCCTATAGGGCTCCTCCATGTCCACTTGCGGTTTCCTCGTTTTCGGTAGAAGGTATTCAAAATCCGTAAATTACTGCGTTCTGCGAATTCTACTAGTAGCTCTCCTCGGGCGTTTCTAGTACCGATGCCATAATCTCCTACTGCCTGGTCTCCAGCCTGCTTCTTCCCTACCTTTGCAATAAAGTCTCCCATTCGTATTGTATACTGTGTTTTTACCTTACTCATTGCCGATTCCACGTCTTCATAGAAGCTTTCAACTGAAGCGTCATCATGGCTGGATGTAGGCACGTAAGCCTGTACCACCTTCATCTTGTATCTCTTATTCAGTTTAATTACAATACCTACCACCCTTTCATTGATGCTATAGCATTCCTCTATGTTGCCAGCTATGCTTCTGTGAATTAGGAGCCCCACTCCCCGTTTTCTTCTGTCAGCCAAGCCCCAATAGCAAAGAACGTGCCCATTCTGTAGCACCGTATAGGCCTCATCTGTCCTCCTAACCTCACTGAGCCCTATTATATCCCATTTAACACCCTCTAGCTCCTCGAATAGTACAGCTAGACTTCCCTCACTAGATAAGGTTCTAGCGTTAAACGTTGCCAAGTTCAGGTTCCAATGGCGGCCTGTCCGGATCCAGAGATTCTTAGCACTCTCTGCTGCGTTGCAGATCTGACCGCCGCCGTGGTCAATTGCTTCGCAGCTGCTGGGGACTGAGGGCCGTGAGTTATTTGACATATGCATGTGGGAGGTAGTGGCCAGATACTGCACCAGGGTGGCCAATCCTTCTCTGGTGAGGGAGTGCGTTCCCGGCGGTGGTTACCGGTGAGGCCCCACCCCAGGCCTCGTAATGCAGTTCCATCACCACGCGGATTTTTTTTTTTTTTTTATCCAGTTGGGAGCTGCGCGGCACCGGGATGCGAGGCTGATGCTCTAACCACTGTGCCATCGCTGCTCCTCTTCCATTGACACCAGATGGTAATCGGTGGATTATAGTGGCGGTTGACCACCTGGCACGCTACGCTGAAACAGCCGCTTTGCGGAGCGCTACAGCTCAGGATGTCGCCTCTTTCATTTTACAACGCTTTATCCTTCGACATGGTGCACCTCGAGAGCTCCTTAATGACAGAGGCCGCACTTTCCTCTCCGAGGTCGTCGAAACTCTGCTTTCGGAATGCCACGTCATTCATTGGAAAACGACAGCATACCACCTGCAGACTAACGGGCTAACGGAATGGTTCAACCGCACGCTAGGTGATATGCTCTCAATGTACGTGGCATCTGATCATAGCAACTGGGACCGTGTTCTCCCGTACGTCACGTTCGCATATAACACCGCAATACGAACCACCACGGGATTCTCACCTTTCTTACTTCTTTACAGATGTGAGCCTTCCCATACAATTGATACCCTACTTCCCTACCGTCCTGATGCTTCCGAGTGTCCACCTATCTCCGATGCTGCTCGACAAGCCGAAGAGTGCCGCCAGCTCGCCCGTGCGTTCACCTCGGAAGAGCAACAACGCCAGAAAGAAAACCGTAGCACCTCTCTTCCGGATCCCAGCTATGCCCCAGGGTCTCTTGTGTGGCTTGCCATCCCATACCAAACTCCGGGACTCTCCTCGAAACTTGTACCCTGGTATGAGGGGCCTGACACTGTTTTGGAGAAAGCCTCTCCGGTTAATTTCCTAATTGAACCAGTTTCCCGATCGGACGACATGCGCCGGCGTGCACGTGACATGGTCCATGTTTCCCGACTGAAACCGTACCATGAGCCTCTGCCTGAAACTTCTTAAGTCGCCAGGATTGCTCCTTTTTTCAGCGGGGGCGATTGTGAAGAAGATGTGCCTGCCGCGAGCAGCATCGCCAACGCCCGGCTCTCTCGCCTCGTGCTTCGGCTCGCTGCTGTGCCGGTCTCTGCTGGACGGTTCATCTTGCTGTCTTCCCGTTGTCGTTAACTACTAATAAACATCTTTACAGTTTAAATATTCGAAGCATTTAAATATTCGTACAAGCCTAGAGGTAAGGTAGGGTCAGCCAAGATGAAACACCAATATAAGATAATGCTTCTGCTCGCCAAGATTGAAGATTCAAGGTAAAGGGATTGTGTCTGCTGGCCAAGTTAAGTATCTATGATAAAATGAGTCATTCATTGAGGTCAAGCTAATCAGAACCGGTGAAAATCACAACAGGTTCAAAGGCTCACCCCTGCGATGGCAGACGACTGCGAGGCACGCGCAGTCGGAGGCGGCGGCGGCAACAGAGGCGGAGGTGGCCCCACGGGTGTTGCTGGCTCAGAGAGGAAGGCACGGGAGCCGGGATGGTGGTGATACTGCTGCTGCTGCTTGGACCAAGAAAAAAGGCACAACACAGGGCGGCTGTTATAAGAGCACCTCTTTTCCTAAGTACACACCAACACATCGTTGTTATCAGCCTAACTAGGACAATTACATGGCAAAGGCCTTTTTTATGCTTCCTCAACTAATCCGGTACTGCCCTTCCTGTGGCATCGTTATCTCTACAAACACCTAAATTTCATCTGCCCATGTAACTTCCTGCCTCATCCTTACACACGCCTTTTCTTGGGATCCAGTCTGCAACTTTTTATGACTTGCCTTCTTGCTACCTCCCCTGCCTATGTCCATTTCTTCTTCTTCATTGCGACTACTTTGTTGTCAACACACACTGGTTCCCCGACTCACTCTGCTCTTTTCTTGAGCCTTAATAAGGGGTATTCGCACGGGGTACAAGTGCTTGGAGGATAGAGGTAGAGCCTAGCGATGTCAACTCGCAAGGAGAATTCCCCACAGATATCCCCTGCTCACAAGGGTGAGGCAGATGAAGGGTGACATCTATGTTACCAAACTACTCTGGTGGCGTGTACTGCCTGTACTGCCTGCTTTCACAAGCTGCTGGCGAGGGAACCACCAATGCGTTACTGCTTTCTGCTGGAGCAAACGCATGTGGTCAAACCCCTATCTGAAATTCCGCTATATCTGCTGCCACGGGGACACAGTTTGTTGTGTCAGTCGAAAAATCCCTGTCTCTGCTGAGAAAGCGCGGGGACGTTGTGCCTACTTGCTAATCCGTGACGTCTCCGTCATGTGAAACGCAATCCTAGCTTCTCCCCCCAAGGATTTATCCTGTGTGAATACCCCGCTTAGGTTGCACCAATCATTTTCATTTACATGTTGAAGTGTTCTTAAGATGACGTTTTCCTTTCCAAGGCTAATGAAGCTGCCTCCAGTGCTTGATTGCCGCACGGGAGTACGCACGTCCACTGTCAAGAAAGAAGCAAAGAACTTGTGAAAAGCGAAGATTAGACAGCGTGCTGTCAAAGTTTGAAAAATTCTGGTAAAATTGCGCTGAAGTATCTTTTAGTGCTAAGATGCATAAGCCAGAAACCCCCCTAACAGTAAAAGTTTCTAAAATAGATACTTGGCGGAAGGTCTTAGCTACGTTTCTTCAAGAAAAGCTTAAGCTTCGGAAGTAAAACACCATGACAAGACGTTGAAGATTATCGTCCCTCCAATCCAGCAAAGGTATATATGCCATATCTATTGAAATCAAGGACCCCTTCTATTCATTGCCTTGTAATGCCTTGCTCAAATGTGTTAAGGATGCTCTAATTCAGTTTAGCTGGATTTCAAAGACGCTTGGGGCATTTTGTCCACTCATCTGTTAGACATTTTTGCTGTGTACCTGAATTCTAGTGACATCCAGTGGGATGGGAAGCATTTTGTTCAGAAGCAACGCACATGTATAGGCTCCTGCAATGCACCTATTCTTAGCAATTGGTTTTCAGGAAGCCTCAACAGGATCCTTCTGAAGCACCTCAGGAGAACTTGTGTTTTTAAATGTTTTAAATATGCTGATGACTGTCTTTCATGAAAGGTGACGAAGGTTCTTTTGAATCAGAAGCTTCTATAACATACTAAAACTTGTCAGTGACTGCCTACATCCTCTGGTACTCACTCATGAGGTCCCAAGTGAGGATGGCTTCCTTAAGTTCTTAGACTACAATGCTCTTTACATGACAAGCACACATGCTGGTCATACGATCCCAGGGAAAACAAACCTTTGCTGCCGTTTCTTCTTCACACTCAAAATTAGTTAAGAGGAATGTTGTGAGACACTGCCTTAACAATCCTCTGAGCAAATCATGTCGCCATTTAATAGTAACCGGTGGCTAAACTGCCAAAAAGTTCGCCCTGCACAAGGAGGCTACCACAACCACCTTCTGGTGTCGATTGGGGAACCCCTGCTCAAAAAGCCTTCAGGTCGCCAGCAGAATGACGCAACCCCTATGAATACAGGAAGAAGTTTGTAACCATGCCCTACCAACACACGATTTGCCACAACCTAACAAATCTGGGCACTCGAACACACATTACCGTGGTTGTTCATGGCTCTGAACCAGGTGGGAAAATTGGGCAGGCTCAGCAACCCAAACGCTTGCAAAGCTCGCAGCTGTGACCAAAATCACAGAACATGTCATGTGCAATGCAAGGAAGGTGTCGTGTACCAGCTTCCCAAGCTGTGTAGGAAATTCTGTGTGGGGCAGATGGGGCAGTGCCTCAACGACAAGCTTAGAGAGCACAAAAAACAATGTTAAGGAGGGAGGCGACAGTTTGTTATCTGCGCACCCCTGCATGTGTGGGTGTTCGCCTGTTTTTGGTAAAAGCTCGGTTGTTTGCATGCACAAAGATAAAATTAAGCGGTTGATCGTAGAATCAGCTACAATACACAGGCTAGGCCAAGAAAGTGTCAACGCACCATCACTTCTTGGTGCCACCACATTTGTGCATACCTAAGTGTCCACCATCTTATGTGTATATTCAGCGATCCGACTTCTAAATAATCATTGTTGTAAGTTAGTGCTTGTGCGTAATCTCTCTGACCCGTCTTCGTCAATGCTGTGTCATGCACTTTATGAGCATATCACACCAATAAGGCAAACAACCTACCTTTGCTAAATCGCTTTATTTTTACGAAAGAAGGTGATCAGGTAAAGTGGTACACTGCCGCACTTGAACACTCGCCCCAGCTTTCTTAGTCATTTGGTACACTTCTGCCAGTCCTAACAAATGAGCAAGTAGCAGAAGAAGCTATTGAGCGAGCCACAGCATGCACCAGTCCTTGAAACATTATCAAAAAAAAAATCCTGCAATAACTTCCTGAAAGCTGGAACACCAATAAGGTGCTTCAATTCACGCACCTGCCTTGGGTCGACAATGAAGGACGTGTCGAACGGGTCGGGTGATACCAGCGTGGCCGCGGCGGCTATCGTCGTCTCCATCTGCTGGATACCCTGCGTGGAGGGAGAGAACAATGGGAGAATAATATTTGTTGAACTCTTCCCACAACATCTTTTCCAACAAGATGTATCGTGCTAAGGTTGAAGACAGCGTGTTGGTAAAGCATTACTATAGATTGTACAGCACACCGAATTGAAGGAACACCAGAAAGATATGCTACAAGTGCTGACCTTGAACAATAAATTTTATTCTCTCCTCTCGCAGAATAAATACAGAAACATGAGCTTGGAAAGCGCAAGCAAGTGGAGATCATCAAAAAAATCTAGATTGCACAAAATGACATTCTACCAATGCTATACCACCTAGCCACAAACTTTTTCCTGAAGTAAAAGAACAGAATGAAGAAAGTGTGTGTATCTCTCTTGTGTCTCGTCGATTTGGTGCGCTAAACAATATACAGTCAAGATGTATATGTATGCCATACCGTATGCTTTGCATGCCATTCAAACAAGTCCACATGAATTCCGTAACAATTTTTAAGATTACATATAAATTTCTCATAACTGGTGACATTTAACATATCACTTGTGACATATAACATGTGAGGAGAAGTTCATACTATTGGGGCGCAGTAAGAACTGAAACCAGCTTTTAAAAACATGCTGTAAATTTTCAGAATAGGGATGGGAGCCGTGGAAACACACAGTGGGATATGCAGAATAAACAGAGGAAGTGCCTCAGACAGGCTGGCCAACGGTTCGATATGAGGACTTAACTTCTTTGTTTTGTTAGGCTAGGCTAGGCTAAGTTAGGTCAGGTCAGGCCCGGTTAGGCCCCCTATCCAAACGTAGGCCAGCCAGTCTCAGGCACTTCTTATATTCATTCCGCTTATCCCAATGTGCATTCTTTCAGGGCATACACACACTTGCCAGTACATCTTCTAGGCTCTTGAGGGCTTGGTCTTTGGCGCCAAAAGAGGGACAAGTAAATATTTCGTGCCAGTGCCCTTTAAAAGGGACTGATTACGAACTTTTCTCAACAAAAATTTTTTTTTCAGAGCTCTTCTTCAGTAGCAGTTAAACCTACAGTAGTTGATTTAAAAGGTTGTGAATACTTCATAAGAATAATTTTTCTACCTAAGAAGCTACTAAAAAAGTATAACTGCCTCCTCTAGCAACACTGAGAATCGATAACTATTCCAATAGCCCTCTTCACAAAATGTTCACTTTACTTTTACAGGAGTGAGTGCAGCTGTCGTTAACCTTTACTTTGCCATTTTCAACATTTTTTTTTTTTAATTTTAGGAAAGCCAGTAGAATAAGCTTTTCAAACGCTCATTTTCGCGTAAAATCTCTTTACTGCCTTGCTGGTCCAGGCACTTGTGGTACTTCTCCAACCTGCCTACAAGTGCCGCTAGTCCCTCAGCTAACTTTAAAGCTTTCTATAGCGCTGTTGCCCGAACTTCATTAGAGGCCACATGTGAGCATTGGATCACAGGCCAAGTGAAAATGGCACCACTCTTCTGCTCACTATAAACAAATGTGTATCAGCACATTTTAAGTTTGAAAAGTTTATAATTATAAAATGTGCACTGTGCAATTGCAATGGCAAAAGGTTAGCACTAGTCACTAGTGGCCGGAGCAGCCAAATTGCAACACATGACGATGTTCCAGAGAAGCTCTAAGCACATTTTATTTTCTTAACCAGAAATGGCTAGAAAGAAAGCACTGCAACAACCAGCTTTTCCAGGGCAACAGCAATAAAGATACAGATACTACAACAGTGCAACTCCAGTGAGAAAAAGGGAAAAAAAGCAACCATGTGCATATCTCTGTCTGTCGATAAGGAATGCACAAAAATTTTTTCAGGATGTGGGCTTTCAGATACGCCAACAACAAGATGGGCTGCTTTGCAATGGCCACCCTGCCTTGAAAAATAAAATGTGCTTTATCGGCATGTTCGAGAACAACCACAGCGCGTCACAATTCGGCTGCTCCAGCCACCGGTCACTTGTGCTAATCTTTTTTCCACTGTGACTGTACTTCAGCAATCATAGAGACCATTAACCGCATGTGCCAGTAAACAGTAAAATGATGATCATCATTATATGCTTCTCTTGCCTTCTGGCCACATAAGATACCAAAGCTGAATTCAGTGAAGAAATAAAAATATAAATCTGCATCTGGTGAGAAAAACAGGGCTCGTTTTAGCCAATACAATATACAGTATTTCCATTAGTAGGGTTATCTGAATTTGAGCTCAGAGTCTGTTTTCGAAGTACTATGAAAACCCGTTCATCTTATTGCAAAATTGCCCGTATTGGTGGTACAAAGAAGTGACAACATGCCAGGTGCATCGATATATGTTACACGAAAATGAGGAATAATGTAGGTCTGCAGCACAAATACAATTATAAAAGCAGCCCTCATTGGTCTCCTCAAGATACAATGTTGTGGATTCAAACACTCTTGCTCAGTTTTGTCTCAAAAGGGACAGTTTCTCAGCACTGCCACTGTTCAAATCAGCGTGCCATCATGAATAAGACGTGGTCTAAAAGGATCTTCGATTTGCTACGCCCCCTGTAAATGTGACCTCGACTTCACTTCCTCTCAGTATCAGAACTAGCTGACTGCCAGAACTCCGAAAAGACAAGAGGCCCGTAGTTGGTGATCCCAACAGAATTCCATCTTAACTTCATCCCAGCTCCAGTTAATTGCTTCCACAGCATTTGTGTTTTTCGGGGTGCTACTCTAGACATTTGCTACATATTCTTGAATATTTTGTATATTCTCTTTCAAATAATGCTGCAATGGGAACCTATGATGTACTTGAATAAATAAATATGTAAACTGAGAAATTCTTCTTTATTGTTGAAAGCATTAAATTTTAATCTCTGACTGGCATCAACGGGGCCAAATATTAAAGGGTACAGCAATGCACCGCAGATTAAGAAGATTAACACACATACAAGCCAGCCAACGTGAATTAACATACTGCGCTAAAAGGGCCCCCCAACACCAAAACTGCAACCTGAACATGTTTGAATTGGTTGTTCTGTACACGTGGGCAATTCTGGCAGATCATCAGTAGTGAGCATTGCTTCTAAGGCAATGTTTAACACTAATGGCTTAGATTTAAAGTAAATACGAGTGCCCACACGAGTTGGCAGCACCTCACAACATTATGTTTCCCAATAAATGCGAGTATTGTCAATGTCGCGGAAGATTCACGAGGTGCACACAATTTGCTCACTGGCACCAGACAAGCGGTATTGTTCCTCGCCCTCTCGCTTTCTTGTCGGGTCGCTCTTGAGGTGGTTCAGGCTGCTCACGCCAAAAATGTGTTTCCTGAGAGGACATGCAACAGGCCGAACTCTTACCAACGTACCCATATCGTTCTATTCTTTTAGCCTTGTGGGGCCACGATTTGAAAACGCTGTCAACGTCACCAAAGCTTGAGCACATGTAGGTGTCCACGGTGTTGTCAAGGTATCGAAAGATAGCTTTTACCGTGGGCTCTTCGCCTATCACATTATGTTTTGAAGGTGAAACAAATTAATTTCCACTTGCGGTCTCAGGCGCTCCCCTTTTGTGGGACACTAATTTCTAACGTTTTAAGACAGGCGTTGCGAAGCGATGCTAAAACTGGTTGCAACATATGACACTAGCATTATTAATACAATTTGTTCAAGAATTTGCAATTCATTGTTGGCATTATCGAACACAAGGCTACAAAATACAGCAAAATTTCACAAGCAAGAATTTCACTGTCACGGGGTCTTAAAATTTGAACACTATCCGTCAACACCTTGCCCCAGTGACATTTATTTATACCAAAACAAAAAAGGGCTTGCCGGTAGGCAGGAAGGCAACACCACTACTAGATGCACTGCACATTCCAGAAGCCATGCACTTACCTCTTGTAGAGAGTCCAGCTCAGACTGCAAATCGAGGAGGTCATCCACTGTGGGAGTCTTGCTGTCCGCAGAGGAGGCGGGCTCACCGCAGCTCTCAGCCTACACACCATGCACAGCCCGCATGCACAACTACGCACTTAACAAACATGCAACGTCATCCCTCATCATCCACTACTACTTTGAATCGCACAAACAATACACCAGCATGCACAAAATGCCAATGCGTGGGGGGAGGGAAGAGGGGAGCAAAAAAAACTGAAATCATAAAATTGCAATGGTGGCAACAACACATAAACACTGCCACTAGCATCTATGGGAGAGGCAAGCACGTCAGTTCAACTGCTGCAGTATACGTGTAGTACAGCATAGCCACCTTATAACGTAAGGAGCCGGAGTCTCAAATTTCCGCACTGTATGTGGTACCGCACTACAACCAAACCAATATTTTTCAAAGGCTGCCCATGTGCAAAATATGACCAAGAGACAGCCGTGCGATTCTGACTATACGAAAATGCAACTGGGACATAAGTTTGCATCCACTTAAATTTGAAAATCTTGAATGGTTAGCATCCGTGGACTTGTGGTGCTGACATAACAAACATAGAAAAAAAAGTGCATTGAAATGAAACGATGCCAAATAACTATGGCAATTGAAGGCTATGGCAACATTTGGCATTGTAACTATGGCAACATTTGGCCCACCACACAATTCAACTAATGGCATCTTCAGCTGGCCGCACTGGTGGAGTTTTCTGTACACTCGTGCGGAGTCGTACGTTCGTCTGGGCACTACGCATGCGGTGCCGCTTGATCGACTGGGCCAGCCACGACATGAGCGCACGCCACAGCGTAGGTCGACAGTGGAGCGTGGTGCAATTCTATCGGCCAGCGTGCGCTGGCAGATGACGCGGTGACGTTCCATTATTTCAAGTGTACTTTACAGCTCACGCTGCTGCAGAGCATGGCCGGACGGCACGGAAAACGTGCGTGAGCTTACATCGTCCGACCGTACTCGCACAAGGATACTCTTGCTGCCAGGATTTCTCAGGGCACCGAAGGAGATACGAAATGTTTCGTAACCCTCATCGAGTTGGTACAGAACTTATGCAGCACAACCGCCTGGAGAACAGACGCACACCCACTGGACATGTAGTGTCTCGCCAGTGTCTCTCATTGTTTGGTTTTCTGTTGTTTGCTCTCTTATTATCAGTACAAACAGGACGCTAGAAATTGTCATCTGCTGAATGGCATCTCTCACCAACAGTGCTGCTGTAGCGGAAACGAGCTTTGTGGTTCACATGTTCGTCTGGCCGGTAGCGAGGTGCGACACTCAGGTGGCATTGGCATAACTTCCCTTCCGCTGTCTCAGTGCCAGTGCACTTCAGCCGAAGATGCCATAGGTCTTTTATAGTGGGAACTAGATCAGAGGAAAACCAACATTACAACTGTCTACATTGCATCACAGCAAAACTGAAAGTTGAGAAAAACAAAAGGAAAGAAGGCTACGGACGTTATATTTAGCTCACGCTGGGCAAAATAAAAGGTGACCACAGCCATGCTACCAATAGGCAAAATGCTGGACTAGTCATACTACTGTCTTAGTAAGGGCAAATGCCAAGGGAGCAAGGATTCGATGACTGTAGCAAAGAATGCATCGTCGGGTAGGACAAAGAATGCATTAAGCCCCAATAAACAGCAACAAAGCTCAAAAGTGAGCAGTCACTTTACCTTTACCCTCGCTCAGCAGTACGGAAATAACAATCTCACAAACTAGCCGCAAAGCCACACATTCTCAAACAAGCATCGACTCAAACTTTGTCCTTCTTTAAATTAGTTGAGTACAGCACCTCCACTCAACTGAAAATGATGCCGGGCTTCACAAGAATCACTGCTCATATCACTCCCACGCACTGCTTGTTTCTGCCACCAGGCGACACTGCTGTCAACATCCGAGAGTTGAGGTGCAGCGTTGAGTGGAGGAATGTTTTGGAATACGGCGATAAGAATGCTTCGCCAGTAGTACAATCTTCCACACAATCTATAATAGAATGTTCACTCTTGCCGCACGTGAATTATCGAGGCTAACGTTAACATAGCAAATGGGGAGCTTGACTAATCACATACAGTTACGACAAGCATTCTGTTATAGAATGTGTACAATATCACACCCTCGATCTGTTTGTGTGACCTTTTCAACAGTGCACTGGTATTAATAATAATACAGTAGACTTGTGAAACGAAACCTGACAGGGCCTGGGAAGTAGGTTTTAGTTGACGGGAGTTCCGTTTACCACGAGATGAACAGAGCTACAATATTCAAGTATGAAGCCATTCATATCAAAGATCCAGTAAACAGGCTCCCACATTTTTTTTTCACACACACCAAAACAAGCTCGCCAATGCATACAGTACACCGCGGTGATCATATTTGCCGAATATTACAGCGCTGTGTGCCGCTCGAACCCTCCATCTCAAAACACAATCCGGTGCCTGTTTCTCTCGCTTGACCAATCACCCTCGTATGTGCAGTCTGACAAAAGCTTGCCAACGGGCAACCCTACACACCTCTGAGCTCGTCGATTGGTTCTTTGCCTTACGAAACAGAGCCTTGGCCTTGTGGCGATGCAGTTTCAGCCACGCAGTCTGCATTTTCATTTTTCTGTGTTGCCCTCTACTGTTTCGTAGAAGCCAAGACTTTGGGAGAAGTGGTATTGCCAGAATGAAAGCCTCCGAGATGAAGAAGCATCTCACTACATTACCGCAAGGAGAAAATTGCTCTTGGCCTCGTATTTCCTGCCAGTATGACACAGGCTCATGTGAACGAAGCCCTGCTCAGTCGTTGGTTGCGGGCTGATGACATGTCACGGACATCGTGCCAAGTTGCCGAAGAGGGCGGAGTCGTTACGACGAGCTGCACCTTCGTGGAGAAGGGTGGCAAGTGGCAGCGCAAAAATTTTAAACCAGTTGAAACGGATGTTGTAACCCCTGTAACTTCCTTGTTATAGCACGTATTCGCATAATCTTTGAGGCAGCATAATCCCATAGCAAAGGCGCACCTAAAGCTTTTCGACTTCGATGTTGTTTACTGGCCCTTTAAAGGCACCTATTATATTTGAGCGACTTCCATTTTCTGAGGGTCTACTGTAGTGTGGCCATCTAAGACTGAATCTGGTGACTCAGACGCATACACGAGGAACGTTGGACATGCGTCGTGAATTTCCAGTATGTGCCTGTGTCACTGCTGGGCGACACCCCGACAACCCATTTGAGGCTCTGCTCACCTGAGGACTGCAGATCACCTCCTGTGCCTCCCCGCGATTGTTGAAGTCCGTGGGGGGCTTCCATTCCTGCAGCTGCTGCCGCTGCTCAAGCTGTGCCTGACGCAGCTCGTGCTGCTTCATCTCCAGCACCACCTGGAAGAGGTCACGCAGCGCCACCACCAGCTGGGATGCCTGCATAAATTTCAACTTTATAGCGAATCTCTCTCCAGCTTATGCTTACAAAATTCACGATTCCCATTTCCCGAGTCGCTGCCGCCCTTGACTATGCCTCCTTTTCCATAACAATCCCTTCGGCTGTGTTGCGACTCTGGACAGCATCTTAGACAGTCTATGTTGACAGCTCAAAAGGCAGCATGAACCCTTGCCGTAAGAACAGACTAACACATGTATGTGACCCAACACTGCTTTACGTCAACGACAGAAAAGTAAGGAAGCCAAAAAGAATTTCTTTACTTTTGCGTTCCAAGTCTACCAAGAACTTAGCATGGCTTACAACAAGTGCATAAAAACGACACCATAGCAGTAAGATTCCCACTATCAGAGCATTTCACTCGGCCGCCACCTTTGTTTGAGCAGCAAAGTAGCCTGCGTCATATTTGTCCCCAATGATGTCTTCACAAGACTGTCTACTTTCCTAGTTATTTGACAATTAAATAAAGCAGCTATGATGGCCACTGTCCACATAGCTGCAGGGCTCGTTCAGAATATCTGACTGAAAATTTAAGGAGCTTTCAAGGATTTCAAGGATGAAAAACCACAAAATTCAAGGAGTGTTAGCAAAACTTTATTTGCTTGCAAGACTTATGGAAGCAGCGTAGTTTTTGCGTGGATTTCTTTTTCCACAGAAGCTATCTTAAGCTCCTTTTTTTTTTAGCAGTTCGACAAAAGCTGTTTGCTTCGACTAAGTAGGTAAAGTCGTTTTTTGCTTCAGCTTCTTCCGAAAGATGGTCCGCAGATTCCAGCAGGCACTTGAAAGTTTTTTGAAGCTTTGACTTCCTTCCGTGCATCTTATCAAGCTCTCGCTCAAGCTCTTTTCCATTTGAAGCTGCCTGTCGTGACAGTGCTTGTCTCTTTTGTTCGTCTAGATATGCAGCGAGCGTGCCTATGCCGGGCTTGGAGCGCTGACGCCTTCAACTCTTTTGAAATCGAAACGTTCAGCAAGCCACCATGGCTTTTCACAGCCTCGCAGGTAATTCGTTGAAAAATGTACGACAGCTCTGCGAAATTCTCGACCGCAACCTGCTTGTTGATGCTGAAGCCTCTTTCCACTGAGGCCTGCCCATGGCTCAGGAGGAGGACTAGTTTCAACACAGCCCATAACTGTGAGAATGGAGCATTGTGCTTCAGCAGCCCCACGAAAAAACTGTCAAAATGTTCATGATCTTTTTCATAGTTTTGTAGTTCATGATGTTTTTTTAGACAAAACTGAATATACTGTGCATGTGCACACAATGTCGCGTTTGAGCTCAGAGAGAAGCCTGCTGTCGATTAGACAGTTAAGCACACTTTTTAGCTTTCCAAGGCGCCTGTTTCTGTTTTGGACATCTCAGTAGGGTCGAAACATGACAACCCACGAATGACAGTGTGCCTCAGGGGACTTCTCTCCGTGACTTTCAGGATCTTGTTCAATGGGAACTTCCGGCGCTCGTACCTAAACTCGAGAGTACACTTGGCGCTTGCTTTGCAGAATTTCACAATCTTCTCAGCTGCACGCCCAACATCCAGCTTTAACTTCTGCATAAACGGCAGCATCTTCAACATCAATTCGCAGCAGCTTCGTGATTCTAGTGGCTTCTGTCATTACAGAGCACTTCACGGACCTTGACAGAAGGCTCCTCAAAACACTTTCAAGTTCTTTTGCCAGCAAAAACATCTTAGGAGAATAGCTCTGAAAAACAGTCAGGAAAGGCTGCACACACAACCATGAAAGCATTCAGGGAAAAGTTCAGTTTTGCAAGTGTAAGCTGGTCATTTAGAAAAGCACTGACGTTTTCATATGCTCTGCATTTTGGCACAGGCAGCCTGCGGCCACTCGCTGCTTCAGTGTATTGCTTCCAGGGTCCCATGTGACCAGGGCTCTCCCCAGTACGGGCACGTTCTCGATCCAACGGTGAGATACAAAAGGAAGTGGAAACACAGTGCTCCCTGTCTCCTGAATAAAATCTTCTCACCTGGTCGGTGCATCATGAAAGAGTGAGAATAAACTGGACAAATATGTGTCAACTGACCAGCCCATTGCATGAATTCCAGCTTTGTAGGCATTATGCACTGTGTGAAGGCCACACGCTCCAATATCCAAACACTGAACTTGAAAGTAATTTTCCATGTGCTGCTGGAACTTGTGTAAAAGGCTCCAGTTAACACTGAGGCCATCCATGGAAAACTGAAGAATTTTGCTCATTGGAACGGATGCCAGCACTTCCGTCAAATTCTTCATGAGGTCGTCCGCTGTGCTGTGGCCCAGGAATAGCAATGTCACATACCTTGTTGTCATCTCAGTATTGTTCCACAGTATCACGTGAATATCAAGCTGTTTATTTTGCAGAGATTCGTTTAATGTTTCTTCAAGAGGACAACAAAATGTTCAGATTTCTCTATCTGAACACAGACCATGGCCTGCGGTGTACGTGCATTTTTTATTATGTTTTTTTTTTTTGCAGAACAAGTGAAGCTTCTTGCGATATCACTGTCCACAAACATCTTTCGGAACAACTCGGAAAGTGATCCGCTGGAGCTGTATCAGTAGGGAGATGATTTAGACTTAACCAAAAGTTTTTGAAGGAACCCGACGTTTCGAAACCGACTTGGTTCTTTCCTCAGGGGTGACTGCGGAGCTACGTAGCAGCGGCGTCTTCAAAGCACTCGCGGGGCGGATAATGACCCCCCTCTCTCACTTTCGTTTTGCCGTGGAGAGCAGTCCATGTGTATACACTGGGGGAAGGGTTCCGAGAGAGCAATTGATGTTATGCACTGTCCCCTGTATGTGCCACAACTCGAGTAATAACCTTCTCCTCCAGTTTGGCCCGCTTTCAAGGATGGCCATTGCTTTGAAATTTAACCGGTGATCTAATGTCTCAGCATGTTCGGCGACTGCGCTGCGCTCTTTGTAGAGCTTCAGCACATCGTTGGTGTGTTTGCTTCACTCGTTCCAGTAGGTTTTGCTGCTGAAAGCAACACGCCAACATGCCAACTAGAACGCACCTTGTTATTATAATAGACCACAGATTATTTGCCTTATGCAAGATGGCATTTAACCAGAAATACTAGAGACTAAAACCAACTGTACCACAAAGATCAAGGAGAGGACTTTTGATGAAGTCACCACTTCTTCAGTTTCCTTGGCATACACATAGAATTTGCACAGGGCAGCTATTCTCATACTTCCCATACAATGGACATGTCTATTTTGATGGAGCTCATTCAGTTACTCGAGAAAGTAGCAAGTTGTCATGTCATTGCGCTCTCTGACCACCTGCACCTCATGGCACACACCCAGCATTTGAAGAAAGAAAGTGAATGAAGCAGAGTCCCAGAACTCTTGAACAAACTTGAAAGGTTTGTCCTAGCATATGAGTTTGTCCCAGATGCTCACGAATGGTGCAGAGAACGTGCACCTACCCTTAGAGGTGCTGCGGTAAAATGGGACGCCGAGCTAACGTGGACACAGAAATGGAATCAGTGCAAGGCCTTCAAAATTTTCGAGGCCAAGAGCATATCTCGGGAGGATGAGTTCACAGCATCAAAGCGAATTTCTTTCCTTTTATTTTTGTTGAGAGTTGTGAAAGCTCTGAGGCATTGTGATTTTGCGAAAGAAGAACCAGAAACCTAGGGTGCACAGCTCGTCGAGCTCCAGCGCAATCAGCATTAGTCCAAATGAACAGCTTGAGAGCGGCTCACTAGACCTTGAATGACCTTTCATACTCTTTCGCATGAGCAGGACAATCAGAACTCACCGCCTTCTCGGTCTTGATGCCAATAAAGCGATGGCAGCCATCTTGCGTCATGCAGACGTAGCCGAACGCCTCCGAGCGTCGCTGGCGTCTTGAGAGATGAACGAGATACGGGCACGGGGTGGTGGAACACCAGCTCCTGCGGAATGCACGGTATTCAAGTTATTGAGGCAAACAAGAGGTGCATACTAGCATAAGGTCATGAGTGCTATGAAAGCCTATTTGATTGTACTTATTCAATACAGTCTGCAGACCCCTTCTTTTTAAACAACTTCTGATCGGTAATACAAGCAACAATAATTTATTCATCAACTTATTATCTTACTCTCAGGGCCCAATGGGCATTGGGAAGGGTTGAGGGGATACTGACCTAGTTGCACAATCGTAAATAAAACAAAAAATATACATTCAAGCATAACAAGAAATGATAAAATATGAGTCACCTGTAACGACATTAACAAAATGGTGAAGTTTTACTAATTTCCAAAAGTGATTGGTTACAGTAGTTTAAATGATGCTGCATTGGCTAAGGTTATCTCGAAGAGAAGGAACCCACTCAATAGCTCAGCGAAAATTCTGGTATTGACGTCGTGGATATGAGAGAAATCGAGAGAGATGCAAATAAATCAAATAATTTATGCCTTAGATGGAGGGAAAATCAAACCCAGGCCCTCTGTATGGTAAACAGGTGTTTTACCACAGAGCTATCCCACTGTCTGAAAGTGCTTTTGAAAAAATATATACGTATTATCGATTCTACCGCGCCCTCGATTGTAACGCGCACCCGATTTCCACGACGAAGAAAAAAAAAAACATAAGACATCGATTGCAAACACGCACCCATTTTTCTCGCGGCCCGCACGATCACACCACTCGAAAAAACGACTCCTTTCGGGAGCGTGTTCCACTTAAATATAAGGTACGGCGAAGCTTGTGCCCATCTGACGTGTAACAGAGCATTGCCATCACTGTAGTTTTACCGTGGACCGATGTCAGCACGCGAACTTGCTTCGCCCCCTTCTTCTCGACAGTTGTGGTGCCAGGCATGTCGAAGTAAAGAGGCGTCTGACCGGCATTCCCGATTTGCCCAAGCAGGTAGCCGTTGTTGTGCCGCAAGTTTAGGACGAACCTCTGAAAACTGTGAAGCTTTTCATCGTACTCCTTCACAAAACTTTTCGCATATGCCCGTTCCCCTTCGGAGGGAAAAGCCTTTCCTCTTCATAAAGTTAGTTAGCCAGCAACTGCTTGCTTTAAACTGGCTCCGAATTAGACCTTTTTCTAAGGCTAATTGCATAGCCCGCACCTTGGAGGTTCTGTCGTCACGGGCCGCTGTGCCGCTCGCTGCTCAACATGCTCGCCGAGCAGCTCTTATTTGTGGCGAAACCGATTGCTGGTCCATTGAAGCCTTTGCGTGAAGCTTTGCTGTCGACAATCTTCTGCTTTTGTTTCCGCAGTCCGCACGCACGTTTCGGGAACTCCATAACGACGATGCAGCCGATTTACGTCGTTCGGCACAGCGAGAATTTCTTTTAAAGCGGCACCGGGTGCAACTTGTCGGTTTTTGGAGTCGGCCCTCCATGCCGTCAATGCTAATGCACACCAGAGACGACTCCTCAGCACACGTACGAAGTGCCGCACATGGGAAAACAATAAGCAGAAATGGCCGAGCGCCATGCCGACGCATGTAGGGGCGCGGCCATTTCGGAATGCGATGGCATAAAATGACCGTAATCATTTTTTTTTTTCATACTCGATTCTAATGCGCATGCGATTTATGAACTCCCTTAACCGGAAA